CCACCCAGCAGTCAGAACCAGCACATTTCTCCAGCCTGGGAAGCTCTGGGTGTGTTTGTTAATTGTGTTTAATTGTGGCTAAGCAGGAACTTGCTCATCTGCACAAGTCTCTGATTCCTGGAAGTATCCACTCCTGGGGAAGAGGGCAATGCAAACGTGGGGACAAAGGGAATTTTGCCAGCCCAGTGCTGAGGGTCAGCCCTGGAAAGTCAAGGAAAGCCCCTGGCACTGCAGCTGCCCTGGGCAAAAGCTGCCAATAAGGTCCAGCCCATTTTTGCCAAGCTCTGGAGCCAGTCCTGCCCCAGGATATCCTGGTTTTTAGGGTGGTTTTCACCTCCTTCCACAGCCTTTTCCAGATCTCTACTCACTACCCCTCTGTGCAGAGACACTGGTGCTAAAAACACGAGACATCAAAAAGTTCATTTTCGTGGCCCAGCTTTCAGTCCAGGGAAGTTTCATGTGCAGAGATTGCTCTAATGAGAGCAGATGAAACCTCACAGAGGTGTGTGCCGGCCTGACCTCCCCGTGGGGCTGAGCACAGACACAGGAGCTGCCCCTCTGCACCTCCAGCTTTATTTACAGAGCCTGTGTGTCTGCCCTGCTCCACAGCTGCCATTGCAGAGCGTGCTATTAATTTGCAGAACCTGGAGCCAGGCTTAAAAACTCCATTAATTAAGTGTTGGCGGAGGTGTTTGGAAAGATGTTCCCATAAATATAGTGCTTTAAAGTGTTTCCCTAGAAACTGAGAAAAGAGTTGAACAATATGAAAAATACCCAGGCTGATGACTCCCCCATGGAGCAGTGGCTGGGCTGGAGGGAGCATTTAGGAAAGAGAACTTTTCTCCCAAGGTTTTTCTGGCTACTGGAAATTTTTGGCTGGAAGCACAAAATGTAAAAGTGAGGCTATTTTCATTCCTTGCCTCCCTGAGCCCTCCTGCTTTGCCCTGGTGTTGGCAGGTGGGGAATGCTCTGTGAACTCTGTGGCTGCAGATTCAGAAGTGCCCCAGGTGTTTGAGTGCTCCCGGTTTGTGGATTCCTCCCAAAGTGTTCCTGCTGTGCCCAAACACCTCAGCACCTCCAGCCACGGGGAGGACAAAGCTGCCATACCCCACAGCCTCTTGCAACTGGCCCCTTACAACATTTCATGGAATCACTGAGGTTGGAAAAGCCTTCCCAGGCCATCGAGTCCAAGATGATGCCCACCTTGTCCCCTGCCCAGAGCTCTGAGTGCCACCTCCAGGGATGGGATCCAACCCTCCCTGGGCACTTCCAGTGCCTGAGCTCCCTTTCCATGGGGAAATTCCTGCTGCTGTCCACCCTGAGCCTCCCCTGGCCCAGCCTGAGGCCGTTCCCTCTCCTCCTGTCCCTGTTCCTGGGAGCAGAGCCCGACCCCCCTGGCTGTCCCCTCCTGCCAGGGACTTGTGCAGAGCCACAAGGGCCCCCTGAGCTCCTTTTCTCCAGGCTGAGCCCCTTCCCAGCTCCCTCAGCTGCTCCAGCCCCTTCCCCAGCCTGGGGGACCATGTGGAGAAGACAGAGTTTGGCAGAAAATCTTCTCAATCAGTTCATTTATCTGTGCAGAAATGCAAGAGCAAATCCCTTTCTGGATGGATGCTGCTGATATTACAGAAGGATTAGAGTTGATCTTCCCTTGGAAAGGGAATGAGGAAGAGAGCTCCAGGCTGATTGTGGCCTGTTAAATGACATTTTATAGCCTGTTATTTCTCACCTAAACAGAAATGTGATCAAAGGATTTGAGGTAAACAATGATTTAATGACTCCAAGTGTAGGAGCTGGGGAGGTTTTGAAAAGAGCTTGTGTACACAAGAATAAACACCTCTATTGCAGCCTGCTGGAGGCTCCTAAGCTGTTTGCTTTCCATGCATCCCCACTGCCAGGGCACTCAGAGCACACCAACTCTTCCCAAACTCCTGCCATCTCCTACACTTTGCGTCATTTTGGTGCCTGTTTGGTTCCAACCACTCAGGCCAGCTCTTGTCCTCCTCACGAGTGGCTGGCAGAGTTCTGAGAGGGATGATGAGGGCACGGTCCAGCTCCTCTCCTAGGACATCCCTGGAGCTCCAGGAATGGCTCTTTGGGTCCCTCTCTCCGTGACTCACACTCCTGTTTCTCCCAGCTTTGAATGAGGAGAGGAGACTCAGGACATTCCCTGCCTCCTCCTGCCTGTGCACAGCACCAGGAACTGGAGTCACCAACACCCCCAGTTCTGGTGCCCACAGGGAACAGGAGCACAGCAAACCCCAGGATCTGGGACTCACCAAACACACAATTCCTTCCCAAGGAGAGGTCCTTGTCAGGTTTGTCAGGACCAGCATTCCCCGTGCCTCTGTAGCAGCACTCTGGGTTAAAAAATGGGATTTTTCCTTTGCTTCCAAACAACCAATCCAACCGATTTGATTCCTTGTTCCCCCACCTTGCTGCTCATTCCTCAAAGTCAAGATAAGATTAATGAGCCGCACACAGAGCTGCTGGAGGGCTCTGCACTTTTCAAGCCACAAAAACACCTTCAGCAACAAAAGGAGAAAACTAAAGCTGATAAAGCCAAGTTTGGAAGCAATTAACATCAATCTAAAATTCAGCTGGTTTAGGGGCTCTGCTTAAAAATAAAGAGCAATTACTGCTGTGGCAAACTGAAATAATACATTGTTTTTCCGTGGTTGATTTAGCAAAGGGAAATCTGCCTTCACCAGCAGCTACAATTAAAAGGGTTTTATAAAAGCTGTTTACCTGCACTAAAGGTGTTTGGTTTTTTTTTCCCACCTGTTTATCCAGACTGTAACAACCTGTCCCCCACCCCCGAGGAAGCAAAAACCCTTTATGGAGTGTGAAGTACTCAGGACAATATCCCAAAATCTGCCTGAAGCACAATTGTGGGATCAATATTTCGCATGTGTGGGAAACCCCACTGTGAAAAACCAGTGTCCATAAAGGAGACAGAGGAGTCCTGCAATCTTATTTAAATAAAAGGAGAGAGAGTCCACTGGGGAATACCCTGAGGGGTTTCTCAAAATTCCTTTTATCCTAAACTCCCATTTGTTCTGCAATACACTTTGTGCTGATCCTTTTATCTATTCCCTAAAGTTCAGGAGTCAAACTTGTCTGTCCTCTGTAACAACCTTGCTCCTGAGGCTGGTGGAGTCATTAAGAGCCATTTCAAAGCCATTAATTAACAGCCCTGCCCTCACCTATGGAATTGTTTGTAAACACAGTAGCACACATCTTCCCCTGTGGAGAATTTAGGAGATTTTCCAAGGGAAACATCAGCCCAGGAAAATCAGGGGGTGGCTTTGAGCAAAGCTCAGATTCTCAGTCCAGCTCCATTTCCCGGCTGGGAGCAATGGGTGGACAGGAAGAAAAAGAAAGGTGAGGGGAAAAAAAGGTGGGGGGAAATAAAAGACGGGGGGAAAAAAGTGGGAGAAAAGGGGGTGGAGGGAAAAAGGTAGGGAAAAAATGGGGGGGAAAAAGGGCAGGAAACAAAGGCGGGAAAAAAGAGGCGGAGAGAAAGTGGTGAAAGGGCGGGAAAAAAGGGCGGGAAAAAGGCGGGGG